CAGTTTTGATAGATTCCGTTAACGGCGTCAGGAATATTCCGTCACCTTCTCCGGCGCCGTCGCCGGCGCCGGAAAACTGGGAAAATTTCAAACTTAGTTTTCTCACTCGTTTCTCAACCAATTTTCATGATTCTTGGACCAAAATAAAGCTTAGGACTAGTAGAATCACGATAGACTAGTTTTAAAGCCTAAAAACTACTAGATCATACCTGTCCACAACTTCAAAAACCGGCCAACTTTGAACTAAGCTTTCCCGACGTCCAAACTCGTCCAACGAAGCACTCCGAGGCTCCTTGGGACCTAACTAAGACATCTACGAGCTTAAAAATTCCAAAAACAAGTTAGATTAAATTTGCATGAATAGTACTCAAATCGGCCATTGTCGAATCGACGTGAAAACGTAGGATTTCTCACCTGAAAATGGTATCGTTGCACTCGTACGAGCTTCACGAGTTCGATGGTGTCCTTAGTTTCCTCGATGGGTGATGATTTGGTATATTTGTGTGTGTGTCCGTACGTTGAAGGAAGAAGAAGAAGAATGATAGAGGACTCGGGGAGAGAGAGAGAGAAGAAACAGAGAAGAGACAGAAGGAGAGGGAATCACGGGAGAGAAAGACAGGGTGTGTGTGTGTGTGACCCTACGCTTGTCAACACCACACAAACAACACTAAACGTACACGAACGAACTAGGGGTAAAATCGTAATTTCCCACGTACGTTAATATGAATTTTGGGACGGGATGTCACAATAATAATATCGTATGTATAAAAAGAAATTAAAAAAAAAAAAAAAAAAGTGATCTAAAACTCACTACTCACTCGCCCGTTAATAATATCATCTAAGTTAGGCCCGTACTGCATGTCAAATCCAATGACTTGTCCGCAGCAAATCGTTACGATAAACCATAAAGCATTAGATCACGGACTTCTCTCCACCAAAAAAAAAAAAAAACTGAAAATATGACTTTAGCCATTAAAATTTAATTTTCTTGATATAAAACACGTCATAAGTTTTTTACTCAAATAAAACTCATTGACTAGATTCCATATCAGCAATTTCATTAATTATATTTGACTTTACACATTAAAAAAATTTTGATGCCCAAAACACCCATATTTGAATGTTTGATGTACACAATTAGTTCCATACAAATTGTAATGGAGAATTAATGATTTTACGAAAATAAAAAGTAATAAATTTATTTCCTAATACATAATAACAACAAAACATGCCTAATATATACGTAATAATACATGCCTAGTTAAGTCAACAAATTATATTTTACATATAAATGTAGGTAACATATATATAACCAAAAAAATGCATGGTATGTGTAAAAATTCATGCAAAATAATTTACCAACAAAAAATGTTATTTGATTCGGTGCACCTACAATTCGAATGTTAAATTGTTAGATTGCTTAAAAAAAGTAAAATAATTTCCCCATTTTATGTAAAACGGATGTGCTATTCACACACTTTGTTTTTTTTGGCTTCTCACACACCCTTTGTTAATTTTTTTCCTTTGATATTCTTTAATTCATCTGATCCGGTAGCCAAAAATTTAGAAGGGTGTGTGAGAAGTAAACAAGAGTGTGTAGATATCACATCCCTATGTAAAATACATGCAAAATAATTAACCTACATAATAAAGCAAATGCAATGTATGCAAAATAATGTACCTACATAAAAAAAAAATTATTTTATTTAATATTATTTTACGTATTATTTTGTACATATAATAATAAAATGTGCTCAATGTACCTAAAAAATATATGTTATTTGCTCATCATAAATTTACATATAGGTAGATTAATTACTATTATATATGTAGTACTATGCATACATACATACATACATACATATATATATGTATATATGAACGTATAGTAGTATTATATATATAGGTAAACTATATATATATATATATATATATATATTGAGCTTATGGTAGTTCTGTATACATTTGAACGTATATATGTATATATATGTGTGTGATTGGGGTAATAATATGCAATAAATTATGGAAAGTATTATTAAGACTACAAAAATTTTATTCTACACTCTTTACAAATGTATTTTTCTTTCTAAATATAGAAAGTTTGGAGTGTAGAATGAGAATTTTTGAGTGTCAATAACAATCTCTAAATTATTTGTTCATTGTAATTAAGGTGAGTAAAAATATTTATTGATTTATTTTGAATATTGTGGTACAAGTTGTAAATAATTTGTATTAATAGGTCAATTACTTTCCTATGTGACAATCATTTTTAAATTTGAATTTTATTTGAATGTTTATAATTAAGTGAGTTTTTAGATAAGAAATAAGAGTTTTAAGGATTTATATCTAAAGAGCCAAAAAAAAAAAAATATTGATGTTCAACATCTGTGTGTTCACTACCATGCACTCTGGCATTGCCAATGGATTTATCTTCGTGGTTCAGACGCAAACTCTTGAAGAATAGTGAAAAGACCAGTAACCCAGATCCCTCAGAGCAAACCCTCCTTCCCCAGCAAAACGAAAGGGAAGAAGAGCAGCTGGGAGTCACGGAGCGGTTGGTCGATCTTGTCAAGTCCTTCACTTTGGACACTTTCAGGAATTTCCCACTTCCAGGTACAATGATAACAGCTTTCTGAATTAATTTTAATTTTAATTGTTTCTTTTGGTGTTTTGGAACAGTAATTATTTTAGCTTGATAATGGGGTTTTTTCTTCAGTTAATTTGATTTTGGGTAAATAATGAAAATTTATGAGCTGGGTTTTTCTTTGTGTGGATAAGGACTGCAATGGGTTCTTTCTTTTCATGTTAATGGAGTTAATTTGCATTGATTCGTTGCGGTGCAGACGATGAGGGAGCTGAAGAAGATGAAGATCTGTCTGGATGGCAGGAAAGGCATGCCACCATTGTGCTCTCAAGAGTTAGGGTTTGAATTCTAGCTCATTGTTTATGTTTAATATTTTTTGTAATTGATGTCAAATTCACAGTTCTAAAGTTCGTTGAGTAAAGCATGTAAATTTAAATCAACAATTGTAGAATGTTGCTCCTTGGCCTTTTAGGAATGTTCTCTAGCAATTTGTAATTGCTTTTATAATGGTTAGTGCCTTTAGTTGTGTTGAATTTGTAGTACAAATAAGAAATGGTTGTAGTCCTAGGAGCTCGGGAAGTTCGATTACCCTGGGTGTTCCAGGCCCCATATCTAGATTTCTTATTAGTTATAACTTTGGAGCTGCACTGCATTATACAGCCCTTTAAGAGCATTTTTATGAATTGGATCTTTCATATTTTCAGGAACTTTCACATTTGAGATATAAGCTATGCCCCCGCTACTTGAAGGAACGTCAATTTTGGAGAGTGTACTTTATGCTTGTCAAGAAACACGTGGCGGAGTAAGTATTTTACAAGTTTCGGATTTTCTATCATTTCGCACCAATGTTATCTGATATCGTAGTCCGAACTCCTGAATGATTGATTAGTTGTTGATGGGATTTAGGAGTATTCGTCTAGGTGGTTTAGTTTGAATATTTTGAGCCGATTATCTTGTTAGTGTTTGGAACATACTGATTGCTCCTGATGGAGCTCTAGACTCGTAGTCTCTTCATATCATAGGGCCAGTGAAGACTGGTTTGGAAAAACGAATCAAACAAACACGATCCATTCATCTCAATGAACTTGAATACTCAACTTTCAGTTGGAATTGGTTTGGTCAAACACATAGGCTTAGACTGCACAGAAATACATATGTACTCCATTTGAATCAGATAGCACCAAGTTCTTGATTTAGTCTGACATGGTAAGGCTTATAAGTTTATAGCAGATGTCAACAATGTTGAACTGCTGCGATCATGCTTGCACCTGAAGCTTCTTTCGATCCCTGAAAACTTGTCCACAACAGGATGATGCTTATAGCAAAAGAGTCATGTTAAAATCAAAACTGTTAAATGTGACCATCACTACACATTTTCAAATTTACAGATTCAAGCTATAAATACAGGTGCATATGATGATACGAGTCCACGTGACTATCACCATACTTTGTCAAGACATCTGCGTCGTTACTCTTTTGAACTATGCGATGTTTTGCTTGCCCTAGATCATGTTTAGCATCTGCACATGCGAACACACTCATTAAACGTGATTTCTTGATTTGATCATCAGATACGAGCTGCGTGCCATACAACAAGCGAGGATCAAGGAAATGGCAGTGGAGAATGAAAAATCTACAAATACCAGTGCATGTGAAGTCGAAATGTCAGAAGCAAAGCAGGGAGCAAAATTAGCGCCTCCAACGCCATAGCATCACATAAATTGCATTACTGCATTTCTCTTTAGCGGTAGGAATCTTATCCATTCCATTCAGTCCTTGGGCTGATGGACTAGTGACTTGTTAACGCTAATTTATGTACTGTCTGTATTTAAGCTTGCGGTAGTCGACTTCGTGGCAGATTGAAGGGGCGTTGTGAAGATCTGGACCCTGTGATCCAGCATCGGGACTGGAACGGGGGATTGGAGCAGGAACCTTCATAGTTAGTCAAACAAGTACGTTGACAAATCTCGTCACGTTACGATCCAAACTCCATCAATCTGAATTTTTTTGGGAATTTCATTTCGTACGTCGAAATTTAGACTGAGTTGTTAACAATTCACTTGAACACTGTCGATGAACAACTCGAGCACTAGAAAGATACTATCAAAATGGGCCTCAACTTTCGGTTACCTAAGCCGTGTTGGGTCGGATTTGGACTGCACTGTCCTAGAACTCTTTCGCATACAAGAAGGAAAAACCAAAGAACAAGATACGTTCCCATTTAATAAAATCAGTGAAAATGACTTTAAAATTTAGAATTTTAACCAAAAACTCATTAATAACTTTATTTAACGGTTAGAATAAAATACAACATTAAACAAGCCCAATTAGACTAGCCCAACCAAAATAATTGACTCAGGTTGATTTTATACCTAACAATTTTAGTCCAATCCATTTTATTTTTCCCTCTCGTTTATCCCTCTCATTTCCTTCTTTTCAATCTTAAATTCTTCATAAGTGTCTCATATGGTAACGAATCACGCGAGGTTAGAAGTTACGAGTTCGTATTGATGCCCTATTTCTTCTACTACAAGACCCAGACGTTGAAATTCAATATCCTAGGAGATTGACCTCTCCAAAGGTGACCTTTTCCGGGCAGTTTTTGCCACTTTTTTTTTTTTTTTTACCAAATTTAGCTGAATTGGTCCTTGACCCAAGAGAGAAGTTTAATCCTCTCCTCAGGGGCTTCCTTTCCATGTAAGTGCTTCTTCAAAATTGATGCCTTTTTGTCATGTCCAGAACTAGCCAGCAACTTCCCATCAGAAGAGAAGTGAAGAAACTGGAGCCAACTTCACAATTGTAAAAACCTGAGTTGGACAGTGCGGCCACAGCTTAGGTACAGTGAAGAAACTGAAGCAACTCTCTGAATACAATGTGAAAACCTTCAAGTTACCTTCAGAAGAATCTTTATGACGCTGTTTAGGACTCTGCTTTAATGTCACACCATCATCTGACAAAAATGATTCCACATTATCTTCTAAAGAACCAACATCTGCAAATTGTCCAATGTCATCCTGTACAGAAAACGATTCTGTTAGAAGAAGAGTCGCTCTGGCTTTTCTACCTTCTCCGTTTCAGCATCCATAAGATAACAATAAAATTTGGTACTCAAAACTCATTCAGAATCGTGATTCCTCAACAATAGAACCAAGCTTTTGGCAATGTTTACTGACAGCAACTCAGCATACCAGTAAATTCAAAGATGCAGCCAGTCCTGTTCCTTCTAAACCATACATCATCAAGCTTTTTGGCATTCTGTTAACATGCTGCGTACTATTGGCTGTCATAATTCCATCACCAGGCGTGCGAGTTGATGCTGGCGAACTGGGTGAAGGGCCAACAGTGCTTCCTGTGCTGGTGCTGTTGGAGGTCCACAGGAAGAGTGTTGTTTCCTTTTTCTGGTTTTCAGCGGAAAAAAAACATCAATAGATGTTGATCATCTTATCCAAAATTACGTTCATTGGGTCCTAATTCAAAAGGCATAAGATTGTAGCATCATATCATCGTTGTGGCAATTGTTTAACAACATATAAACTAAAATTAAAAATTATATTAGACACTAAAATTAATAGATTATATTAAGACAGAAGAGTTAAACCCATCGATAAGAAAAGAAACTTATTCTACATCATTTGTCAAGGGGTTTAACTAGGATCATCTAATTACCATATACGGTTGTTGGAAAACCCTGCATATAAAGCTATTTACTAGAAATACTAAAACACTGCACATTCAACTCTATATCTGCATGTCAGTCTCCCCTCCAGATTTCCACACCAAAGCGCTCTCGGAGTATTTTAAGCTTGACTTTACTTCCATAACTTGATGGAACTGTCATGACTTGCCGACGCAACCATTCCAGTATAAGGTGACTGAGCCAGAGCCAAGATTATATTCTTGTGTGCCGCAACTGTCATGGTCTTGTTCTCAGCCATGTTCCACAGCTCCAAAAACTAGCTCACAACCATGAAGGCGACTATTAGCAATAATTACCCTTTTACATAATAACTTACTAACCATAGGTTACCATGGTCAACGCAGTTACTATGAATATCATCATCTGCTACTTTATTTGTTTATGAAGCTATTGCTAGAAGTCTAGAAGAGGTTAAGAAATTACCGAGATTCCTCCGATGATCAAGAGAGTTGAATAACTTGGGTGAAAGACACACGAATGAAACTGGTTGCCGTCAGAGCTGAGCTCCTGAATACACTCTCCCGAAGATAACGACCAAATCTTCACCAAGTTCTGACTGACAGATGCCAGATATTCTCCATTTGCATGCCAACAAATGTAGTTTACCATGTCAGAGTGCCCCTGAGATTGAGGACGACGTTTTAATCGTATAACTAATCACTTGTTTCTACAGCAACAGATTAACATTAATGCGGATCTCAGTTAATCCCATATTTACAGACATGGTACCTGGAACGAATGTGTTTGCCTGTCAGTTTCAACAGCATAGATGGAAACAATTTTATCTGAGGCTGCTGCCAGCAGTTGTCCAGGTCTTGGCTGAAACCTCACTTGGGCAGTACCTCCCTGCCCCAAATGATAAAGACAATTTTTAGGGTGTGAGTATAGCTTTCGTACAAATCAAATAACGCTTAACTTGGAAGAAAAGAACAGAAGATTACATACCTTCGAACTACGAGTACAAGACAATGGGTTGGTATTCCAGTACTGAATAACATTGTCATGATCACAGAAACAAAATAAATCAGTCTTCTTAGGGTGGAAGTCAAGGGACATAATAGGAGCTGTGTCCCGTATATGCTTGTAAACAATAGTTTGGCTGCCACGATAAGATTAATAAGTCAACAATGCTACAATGAAAATGCACGTTAGAACGTTCTAACAACTAAAAATTACAAATGAATAAAAAAATCTTGAAATTATAAACGTATTGAGGTACATCCTGGTTGTATCAGCTCAGACCATGCATAAAAGAGAGTAAAGACAATTACATTGACTGCATCCCACAATCGTACAGATTTGTCAACTGAAGCTGTTGCCAGGTGAGATGAATTTGGTCTAAATCGAACATCTGTGATAACTAACTTGGATCCCTAACCAAGGACATACAGAAAGAGTACAAAGTTTAAGTCTGCATAATTATGCACAACCTGTTGCAGTTGCTACTGTGGCAATTGTTCATGCTGTTGAGAGGAAGGGTGCTGCATCTGTGCCATTTTTATCTGTTGAACACCAACAAAGCTTCAGAGAAAGAAAATTTAACCTTTCAAAGGATCAAAGTTTTTGGAAACAGTAAATATCAACAGCCAAACTTAGAAATCACATGAAATGATGATTGATCATAACCATTAAAAGTTGAAAAGACCAAATTCTCAGAAAATAGAGCAGGAACATTTACGACAATAGATTTAACAGCATCCTTAACCATAGAACCCCAACAACAACCATGAATCCTAATCCTCATCGGGTACATCAGAAAGGTTACCTTTGGTGAACTTGATAAAACTGGAGAGGACATAGATCCATCATTTCTGGTAGACTGGCCGTCTTTTGCATTCAAGCTACCCCTACGCAGTCCAGAAAATCTGCGAGGATCCATATCTCCATAATTTGTTGAACTTCCAACGTTATTTTGTGCCTGAGCTTGTGCCAAAACCTGCTGTTGTTGAGATGCCAAAAAGAACTGATTTGGGTCTGAAGATTTGGCTTCTGCATTTGTACACCCAAATTCTGTCGTATTGGTTGATTCCCTGTAGTATGTAGTAGTTAAAGGCCAACCCTTCAAAGGAAGACCTGTAATGCCTTGAGGCTTGATTCAATCCTGAAGGAAGAAAGGAGCCGTATCTGACAGTCAGGTGTTGTCACCTGCACTGCTCAGTCCAAATTTTGACTGTAAAATTGCTTGTTTGTCCATAAATTGATGAAGGATCCATAGACAAACTTTTCTGAGTTGCACCTAAGCTCCTAAGCTAACTTCGCTTCTGATGTCCTACAATCTCCACAAGCCGCATACTAATTGCTCAGTGTGCTACAAAAGAAGAGGCAAAGAAAGTTAAGAAACGTGAGAGAAGGAGAATTGAACAAATGAATTATTTGTTTTGAGAGAGAAGGAATTACTTGTGACTACCGGAATATGAGAAATCTTGGGCCACTCTGTGCCTGTACCCCTGGCGCATCTTTCCTTCAGAAAGGGACATTTATCAATCCATATATGTTTTAAGTTGGTGAGGCGTTGCATAGCTTGGGCGGAAGGCAGAGACTTGAGATTCTTGCAATTGTTAATCCCCAGTTGGGTAAGAGATGTAAGGTCACCCAACCACTCTGGAAGAGTCTCCAGCCCATCACAATGATCTATTGTTAGCTTTGTTACAGGACTAGTCGAGTGATGAATTACTTGAGGCAGAGACTTGAGCTTAGGCCACCCGCAGAATTCTAACGAGTCTGATGATGGAATTTGCGGAACCGGGAAAGAATCGAGCTCCTCCCACAACCCACCAATCGATAATTTCTTCAAACGAGTCAGAGTGTGTAGACCCGTCGGCAAGTATTGTAATTTCTCACAAGAATCTATACTTAACTCGGACAGAGATTGCAAGCTAGTTACATCGACATTTGCTAGAGATATCAAATTATCGCACCACAAAACTTCCAACACGACAAGGGAGGTGCAATCGCGTAAAGAAATCTCCTCAAGAGTACTGATAGAGTCAATGTTCAATTCTGGTCCGCTGCAACTTGCAATAACCAATCTCCGGAGGGCGGTCAGACTCTTCCCCTTATCGGCAACTGAACTCCATCTTAGCATGGGGCAATTCACAATACTCAACTCCTCAAGAGATTCATGACGGCCTTTCAGGCTTAATAGTTGAGCACAATCTTCAATTATAAATTGCCCAAGGGATGGCGGGAATACATCTGAAATTCGAATACGTACTAAGTTTCGGCTACCACTTATTTTCAATCTCTCAAGTGCGTTGCAATGTTTCAACCCACTTGGTAAGTCTGAAAGCTTCTTGCAACCCTCAATCACCAATTCTCGAAGACATGGTGCGATTGGAATGGATGGTAGGTTGGGGCTACCACTTATTTTAACCCTCTCAAGTGAGTCGCAATGTTTCGACCCACTCGGCAAGCTTGAAAGCTCCTCGCAACCCTCAATCACCAATTCTCGGAGACATGGTGTGATTGGAATGGATGGTAGGTTGGGGCTACCACTTATTTTAACCCTCTCAAGTTTCGACCCACTCGGCAAACTTGAAAGCTTCTCACAACCCTCAATCACTAATCCTCGAAGACATGGAATGATTGGAATGAATGTTAGACTAGGACAATTCCTTATAGTCAACTCCTCAAGAATAGCGAGTGTTTCTAGCCCATCAACCGAAACATGCCTCAGAGATTCGCATTTGTCGATACAGAATGAACCAAGGGATGTACAATCCTGTAAAGACAACTCCTCCAGTGTAGTACTGCTGCCGATAGACAATTCCGGTACACAACTTGCAATAAGTACCAGTTTGCGGAGTGTCGTTAGACCGTGATTTGAAATGCTTATTAACTTGGGGGATTTATAAATGGTCAACTCCTCAATAAGAGACATGTCTAACCCATCAGCTGCATGCTGCCTCAATTGTAGAAAATCGTCGACACCCAGTGCACGAATAGAAGTGCAAGATTCAAGCCCATAAGTTTTTAGTCCATCACAATCTTCAATGGTCAATTCACGGAGGGATGTGCATCCGTGTAAGCCTGAAATTGACTCTAGACTTCTGCACGACCTTAAAGACAACACCTGTAGAGGGATATAGCATTCTGGTAGACTTTGCAGGTCCATTGATATTAATCCACCACATGAACTAATCTCCAATCCTCGAAGGGATGTTACACCGTGAACTGAAATGGATATCAGACTATCACAGCGGCTTATTCCCAAATTTTCAAGAGATGGACATTTTATGGACAACTCCTCAAGAGAAACTCCAGTGTACAATTCTGGTCCACTATGCTGGCTGGTTGTTGTTAATTTACCACCACGTGAACTAAACAACAATTTCCGGATGGATGTCAAACCAAATAATGAAAGGGATCTGAGTTTGTCGCAGCTGCATATTTCCAGATTCTGAAGAGAGGCACACTTTTCTACCAGACTTGTTAGGTTTGATAGCTCGTGACAAATACTCACCTCCAACTTACGAAGGGATGCAAAATGATCAGGAAATTTTCTTATTTGTGGACACTCCACGAGATCCAACTCCTCAAGGCAAGGAAACACCGATATTTGTTCTTCTTTCACCACTGGTGGTTCAATCCATTCGGTCAGATTTAGGGCCGCAATAATTCTAAATGTCTTCAATGTAGGAAACAAAGCCTTGGTCTTCATTGCATCATCAATGCCATAAAACTCATCTCCCAAACGTTTTAGATTGCACATTGTATTAAACTCAAGATGCATAAGACTAGGTAGATGGCCAAGCATAGGGGCTTCCCCACATACATCGCACTGAAATAATCGAATCTCTTTCAAGTTGTTGTGTGGCTTCCAAGATGGAAATTGAGCACCCATGAAATTGCGAATCTCTAAAATTTCAAGATTAGGGTGCGGCTGGAGGCCTTGGAGAACATCCTCTTCACTGTTGTTGCATGGCCTCATTTCCTCACCCCATATAAGTGATAACTTTCGTATGTTTCTCTTCCCAACTAAATTTGATTTCTTCGCTTCTTCTCCATCCCTCACATGTTCCAGATCATAAATAGCCAACTCACCTTTCAAGTGGTTTAAGCCAGCCAATTCCTCAATTCCACGACCGGTTCCATCAGGACTCACAATAAAATAAGGCATGGTTCGAAGACTAGTCAATTGCCCAACCCTAACATGAGATTCCCTGTACCAACCAAAATTAGCACGTTTCTTTTTTTGGACAGGACCAAAATAGATGTGTCTCAAGTTGATCAAATCTCCCATTTCCATAGGAAACACCTTCAGACGTCTACAATGCTCCATTCTTAATGTCTGTAAGTTATGCAGCTTGCCGACTGATTTGGGGAGTGCTTCAATCTTTGTTCTAGAAACGTTTAAGTACCTCAATTGCTTCAGTTTCCCAATTGAAATAGGCAGCTCCGTAATATCAGTGTCGTAAAGATTCAAGACATGTAAACCTCTATACCTTGGCAACATGTTACTGGGAACTTCACTATTAGAAAACAATGAGCGCAATCCCCTTGAACTTGTTTTCGAAATTGATTGCAAAACCGAAGTAGGAATGTGTGAAGCATGTCGAATCTTCAGTGTTCCGACCATCTCATTAGAATCCGAAGTTGCGCTGTCACATTTTGATACAAGTTCTACAAAATCATGCACAAGAACATGCATCTTGCATTTGGCAACACCACCAAATTCATCCTTCGTAAGATCTTGAAATAAGAAGTTTTGCAACAAAATATGAAAATACTCAATGCCGATATCCTCCATCTCCATATCAATATTCTCGGAAGAGGGGTGAAGAAATCCTTGAGCCATCCACAGTTGGATTAGGTCATCCCTTTCGATTTCAGATCCTTTCTTGAACATTGAGCAGTAAGTGAAGCATTGTTTCAAAAACGGGAGTTTCAAATTATCCAGACTCAACTTCAATTCCGAGATGATAATCTCTTTTGCTTCTGGAGAGTCCCATATTTTACTTTGTAGAATTGCTGACCATTGATCTGCACCATTCTTAGAACGCAACATTCCTCCGAAAACCTGTTGGTTCATATATGGTTAGATTTCCTGTTAAATTATTCATGGACTTCATAAGTGATTATAACAATAAACATTAGTTGGTAGTTTGACAGAAGCTGGGTAACTAATATTATAACGTTGATGTTAATGGATAAAGAGAATGTTAGGACCCTAACAATATTAATGGGCCAATATCTGTAATAAGGTTAATGGGTCGCTTAGGCCCACTAAGAAGAGCACCATGTATTTCTGAATAGCCTCATTTGTAAGCTTCAAATAAATAATACAAAATAAATTGTCTTTACCTTTGCCACAAATGGTAAACCTGCACACTTTTTGGCAATCTCTCTTCCAATTTTCTCTAGATCAGGATCTGTAGGAGCAGTATTATCTACAAATGCTCTTCCCTTCAATATGGACCAGCATTCGTCTTCCGATAGAAATCCCAAATCATAGTGAGGAAGTGTTCCCGTAATTGTTGCAACTTTGGAACTGCGTGTAGTGACAAGTATGGTGCTCCCCCGTGCAAAATGAAGTTCTGACAAACAAATCATCAATTTGCTCCATTCTTCAGAATTTTCATTCCAAACGTCATCAAGTACAAGAAGACATCTTTTCTCCGTCAACTGTTCTTGGAGGCTTTTAAGCACTGCCTCCTGACTTTGTATATCAACCGTTCCGCAGTTAACACATTCTAAGATTCGACTCAAAATTAAATCGGCATCAAATGTATTGGATACATATATCCATATTTTCTTATCGAACTGTTGACTTATCGCATCTTCATTATAAACCAACTTGGCCAAAGTAGTTTTTCCCAAGCCTGGCATCCCCACAATGGCCATGACAGAAAGATTTTCTTCATCTTTTGAGTTGGTCAAGGTTGCAACTATGTTTGACACGGCATCATCTCCGCCAACGATGATTTCATTGCCAATTGATGAATTGGTTTCTCTCCTCGATTTCATTGCTTGAGAACTTGCATCTATATTTTTGGAAAATAGTGCCATAGAAGATGCCCGACTGGCGAGATCCACCAACAGTGCGTTGATGCTTTTAATTTTAAGTGCTGTTTTAAGACGAAGTGCAACCGGATTAGAGAGTGAAAAGAAGTTGAGTACCTTTCTCTTCAGATGGTTTTGTATTTCGTGCTTATGGCGGAGAACTTCATAGTTGATTTCCTCCAAGACATCATCAGCATCATTGGCTACGTCTTTAAGTTTCTGCACCCACGACGCCACTGCCTCACGCGGATCTTGTGGTTGCTCAGCAGCTTCACGCGTGATATCTTGAATCATGGCTAATGTTTGATGCAGGCTTTTCAGTTTTGGTTCAAGTTCCCAAGAACGGACGAGCGGTTCATTGGAAAGTGAAGCTGCCTTTGCAAGTATTCCCTCAGCAGTGAAACTAGATATGTCTGCCCTATCCATCCTTCCGTACACAGATCTCAAATCAAAGAACAGATTAAAACCAAAACACAGCGCGCATAGGCACAGTATTAGTCTGGTTGATAGATAGCAAGGAGCGGTACGTATGACAATAATGCATGTTTGCCTTATCTTGTATCTGTTTTTGTGGCTCTAACGTAAAGTTGTTGTATATGTGGTCACTAGATACCAATTGACTTTTGTTGTTTCGGTCACAAGTTTTTTAAAGAGAAATTAGATTCACATCTCTTATTTTCATACTGCATTGATTGAAATTTTATCTTTTGTTTAAATGAGAAATTTAAGATTACTAAGAAAATCAAAATTAAAAAATTAAAAAATTGTAAAATTTAATTTCCTAAAAATTGTGAAGTTTATTGTTTGGATACTGTAAAAACTATAATGAAATTTCAGGAAATTTAGTAAAAGGTTAATAAAAATTTTACTAATGAACCATATATCAATGGTCAATTTTTATTTTGGACTTAATCAATGAAATATTTTTGTTAATTAGTCATAGGTCAAATAAGGAATGTTACATGGGTTTCAAGCCCATATAAATAGTTATAAAATTACTTTTTTGCCCCAAACTAAATCATAAAAAGGTTTATGATCATCTCTCCCAAAAATCCTCTCTTTTCTGTAAGTAAAGATAACCCAAATTCCTCTCTCTCTCTCTCTCTCTCTCTCTCTCTCTCTCTCTCTCTCTCTCTCTCTCTCTCTCTCTCTCTCTCTCTCTCTCTCTCTCTCTCTCTCTCTCTCTCTCTCTCTCTCTCTCTCCGAATCCGGAATCCGTGGGACTCCACGCCCCGTGCGCTAGTAAAAGTAAAAGTAAAACTAAAAACTAAAAACGTAAGACAATAACTTCTCTTATACAAGTAACTATTACAAAAATCCTTACAGAGTGTACAAAAATAAAAAAAACTCTTAAATCCCACTTAACTCGTCTAGCACATGTCTTGTCAAATAACTCATTTGTAAAATAAAAGGATAAGGGGTGAGCAGCAACCATCATCACTCAGTGAGTAGAATATGTAATATGTCAATCAAGCAATGTCATTTTATTCACTATAGAAAATACAATAATAATATCAAAATCATCGTGCACGTAGTGCCATATCACATCATCCCTTTACGTATTCATTATATTCTTCATAAATAGTAACTCACCACGTGACTCCTATTGGCCATTATGCCCTAATGTCTCCATGTGCAGTTTACATTTATTCTTCGGATTAATGCAACACTAAAGTTCTTATGCTCCATGAACAATCCCAAATATCCACATATCGCTATATTAATAATTCCGAAAGCATTTCCACAAATTCAACATGCTTGACTTGAAATAGAGATATTTGAAAATAAGTATAATTTGCAACACATTACATAAACCACTCACCTCGATAATCCGAGCTTTGACAAGACAAACCATCTAACAATCTCCACACACCAAACCCCTAATTTTAACGGATGATCCTGGATGCTTGCTAACCAAATGGAGCAACAGCTCCTTGTTCGAGAGCTCTCTGCATGCAGAGGAAAGGAGAGAGTTTGAGGGAAAGAGAGATGTAAAATAGAGAGAAACGAAGTGGGATGGAAGAAAATATAAAAAGAAAGGGGAGAGTTGAGTGAAAGTCAGTGGGAAGAGTGAGAGTGAATAAAAAATGATGAAGTGATGTGTGTGTCAGAGGGAGAGACGGGAGAGATCAAGTGGGGGAGAGTGTTGTTGATTGAATTTATCTATATATATAAAGGAAGAAGGTCAGTTTGGTAAAGCTTTCAGAAATGCCAAGAATGCCCTGATTTCATACATAAAGCACACGGATAACTGCTCACAATAATAGGGTCAAATTCGTAAATATGTTACTATTTATAAATCATTTACAAGTTGAAAAACAAAATTATTCATTGCAAACTGTATGTGCACCCATCACAACAATAACAATTATGAACCACTAGATGAAAACACACAAACTTTAAATTCATTATCATCCCTTAAATTAATCATCCTATAACTACTTCGTTACATTCTATCTTTCTGCTATACAAAAACAAGAAGTAAATAAATAAATAAAAAAAAAGAAAAAAAATACTTCAGATGGGCATGAAGCCACGAACTCTCAACAGCAGTTGCAGCGGCTGCAAACTGCAGAGACGGAACTCTCCACAGCAGTTGTAGACTTGCAGTTGCAAACTGCAGAGACGAAATTCTCCACAGCACTTGCAGCGGTTGCAAACTGCAGAGATGGAACTGCCATATACCTCACGTTTAAAGTGAGCAACGGGTCACTCCATCCCCACAACCCAGTGATAAATTCAGACAGTCGCTCAGTGTACCAGAACGCATCCTTCTCTGCTGCCCTCACCACCAATAGTCTCTGGCCTTCTAAGCATTCAGTCCTCTGAATCTTCTCTCACTTCCGCCTCCGTCGTCGTCTTCATTACCATGTCCTCCAGGTACCCAAGATTTTATTCACTTCAGTGTCCTATATAATCCAATCATCATCGTCTTCATCAAAGAGTGTCCTAAATATTGTCTAATTAGATAACTTAAAGCTTTTGTTTGCTTGCGTCACCGTCACGGGGGGCTTTCAGTTTGTGTTTAATCAAGTTGATGGCACAAATGGTAAACACACGAAGACCTTCCGATCCCAACCAATTCACGACACCCTCAAAGCCGTCTACGGCCACTCCTCCCAACTCGACGAGGCCTAGCTCTTCGCTCGCTCTTCAGGTGGGTCCTCTTTATCTCTCTCATTGGGGTTTTGTTTTGTTTTGTTTTTTTTTTTTTTTCAGTTTTCGATTTTGTGCATGTGTTTGAGTTTTTTACCGGACGGTGGATTCAAGGAGAGTGAACTTGACCAGAGAGCACATAGACTACGAGGGCTACTCGGTGCTGCCGCTGGCCATACGACATGACACCATTGTTGCAATTCGGAAGCACAAACTACGACGGAGACGCCGAGAAAGTTCTCATAATTTCCAATGGTCAACAAGAAGTACCAAATTTGTACTTAGCCCGCCGACCCTACCCAGGTAGTAAATTGTTTGACTTAATCATCATTCGCTTAACTATAATGTTATCCCAGTTGACATCCGAGTTCAATTTCAGTCAAAGTTTTTTTTGGAAACTGAAGGAAATTGAGAATCACAAATAGGGGCCTTATTTCATTTGGGTCATCTTTGGAAACGTTCGACTACTTCTACAAGTTCCTCCATTACTGGCCTACTGATCTCAATGTCAATAAGGTATGAAACAACGTTATGAATTTGTTGTTAACCTTTCAGCTATGCATTCATTTTGCTGAACGTTAAAGACTGGAACTTTTTGTTAGTGTATAGCAATATACTGTATGATTTATGTAATTTGGATTTCGGAAATTTGGTGATGGGTTGTTTGCTTTCCCCTGTTTGGTTGATCATCAACTGCTACGAATTTGGTGCATTACCCAGTTTTATGAAAAAAATTATTTAGGATTCAGCTACGTATGCTAATACGGTATTACAAATAGGTTTTTGTTTTAATTAGTAATGTTGGAGCCGTTATGTAGGAATTTATTCAATTTGATTGCTAGAAAGATAGGGAGGAGGGGAAGATATTGGTTTTGAGTTGAACGTTATGTTTTGAATTTGAGTGAGTATTACTCATTTATGCGTTTGAAAATCTAATTTAATCGTGAAACTAATTTCTCTTGGAATTTGGTATGAAGCTCGATCATGGTAGTTCTTTGGTCTTGCTACATTAAAGCGAGAATTTGTTCACATCATTCTGGATTTGAGTTCACAAAGTTGAATTATGTTTACGTAGTGAGATCAGTTTTAGAATTTTCAATTAAAACATGATTAATTTTGTAAGATTTGTGTAAATTGGTTGTAATCACGGGCCCTACGTGTGATGTACAAAGTTATATTTTCATTTTAACATTTGTGTTGTTCTTCTTTGATGATTTTAAGAAACTTTTCATTCAAATATCTCCTCTGGCCTTTTGTAATATTGTATTTTACCACAAGCTATAAAATTCATGTTTCCCACCACGAAAAGTACAAACACCAATAGTTAGAGCACACAATATGTCAATAACAATCTTCTAAATTGTAAACAATATACCCTAATTCTTTTGTGTGTGAGTGCCTATATGTCAAACAAAGTAACATTAAATCAACTGACATTTTGAATATAATTTGGAACTTAGGATAGTGTCATTTACAATTAATTATCTTGGGCGAGTGTATTTACAACATATTTTCATCTTTGCATCAACCTGAGCTTAGTCAATTACTTGGAAAGTTAAAGATGCTAAATTAGTTGAATCTTTAATGGAGTTCGATTGCAATTCAAAGTCATTTTAAGTTCTATTGCAATTCAAAGTTCAGGGTTTTTGTTTGGTCATCATTGACGAAGTAAATGTAAGTTATTTACGGATTTTAACATTTGGGGTGTGCATTTTGTTTCTAGATCTTCCCAATTCAGTGCTTCTGTTACACTAACGGAAAAACTGTAAACCTAAAAGCGAATGGTTCCTTTTCTAGCAATGATATATTATGCCTCAGTGAACTTTATTGTGTTTAATTTTGCCCTGCTGCATCTATTGCTTATTAGAACGTAAAACAAGACAGAAAGAAGAGGAAAATTAGTTTTCATTTCTTCTGAGTAAGTTTGTTTCATCCCTTTGCCTCCAGTTTTCTGAATTTGTTTTTGTAAAATCGCTGTCATTGTTTAATTTGTCTAACTATTATGCCCCAGTGAAATTTGTCAACAGAGAACTGAGATTGGATGACACGGTTGAAGAAGCCAACGTAAAGGTAAGAGAGAGAGAAGACGGACAAATAAAGAATAAACGAGAAATACATTAGCTTTCTTCGTTGCTGTCAATTGATATTTTTTCCAAACGATCTTTTACGTTATGCCAAAATTACATGTCATGTTGTAGCTTTTTAGCCTCTTTTTATGGGTATTACACATTTTTCAAAGATCTTTTTATATTATATCGACCCCACATTCGTCATTTGTTATATGAAACTGTATTTTGGTATATTTTTTCTGCATTTTGTACTGTATACATTCCTTTACTACACCATTTGAATGTCATATTTCTTTTCTATTACAGATATGATGATGAAAGCTTTTCTTCACTCGCCTATGGAGAAAAAGAGGCATGCATATAAAAGATGCAACTACCTAGAACCTTGGTTCACGTTGAAGCATGTCATCAAAGGGAGTAGTCAATTTACAGTTGCTACATGGTGTAATTAGCATCTTTTATAGAGTTTTAATTTTTATGTAAATGGGTGATAGAATTTTCAACTTTTTGTATAATGCTGAATAGTTTCATATACCAAATTACAGATGTGGACTAGACATAATATAAAAAGATCTTTAGAAATGTGTAACACCCGTCAATGTAGTTGTATGGTGAAAGATATGCTCTTTAACGTTGATTAGGATATAAGAATATCTAAAACAACATATCTTTGGGGTGCGTAGCGCCCGTGATGCAAAAATGCCTCTCGCATGTGCGTGAGCGCGTTCAGAGAGGTTAGTATAAGATAATTGGCATGACCCAATTTGAATCGAAATCGACCTAATTTATCTTGAATTTTTTTTTCCGGTTTTTATCCCAAACCGTTCGCCTCAGATTCAGATTGAATTATGAAAGTCAAACTTTCGGTTCAGCCCGAACCGATATTCATATTATTTATTTTATTAATTTTGTTTAAATAGAAATTAAATAATTATAACAAAATTGACTGGGAGACTGAAACTCAAGATCTTCCTTAGGAAATCCTCTGAACCAACTTTCAATTTGTGACATTGTAAGGTACCGGTTGCATTTATATTATCTAATAACTATTAGTTAACATTTTTCAAAATCTGAGCCGCCGCTCTCTCATTTGTTACCCAAGGATTGACGGTTGGCTAATTAAATCTCAAAAGAAAAAAAACTTGCTGCGATTGAAGTTCTTCGTTACTTGAATAATATGAGCTTGCGACCTCTCTTGACAACTTGAACTAAAAACCTAAACTAAGGCTAGAAATCCAAGTAATTGAGCATTAAAAAGTTAAAAGTAAATTGTGAGGTTTAGAGTTAAGGAAGCTAATTATCCAAACTTACAAAGGCTAAAGTAAGGTTTCATTTATCACGAAAGTCTTTGATAATCATCATAAAAACCATATTTGATTGCGGGTTGCTCAATATAAAGGGAGAATGCCAAATTGGTGAAGCATTTCAAAATGCCAAGAAAGTCCTTTTGTTATCTACACAATCAAACCTTTAACAGTTCAAAAAGCTAGGACAAATTGGTAAAAAAAACCATAACCGAACAAAAAAACAAAAATCAACACTTTAATAAAAACAAATCAATTAAAAAATAAAGTGAAGAACACCATTTTAGGAGAGAAATATTAAAAAATAAAGTGAAAAAAGGCCACATGGTGAATAACTGCTGAGAGATATTAAACAGAAAAATTAAAATTTGTTATGTTGGGAAAAAAAAAAAAACAAAACAAGAACGGAATAACTTCTCCTCCATTTTAGGAGAAAATATTAATATCTATATTAAAAAAAATCTAATAAATTATACTAATATCTGCATATGGTCCGACTAATTTAGACGGATTAGGATGTTTCAACTAATATTAGAAAGCTAGAAGTCAAGTTTGGTGTCTCAAGGCTTCACCAAAAATAATTGAACTAAAAAGCCCCTCAAACAAAAAAAAAAACTACCTCAGATACAAAGCTACCTAGAATTTATGAATATTTCATGATGGATATTTTCGTCAAACTTAAAAGTAAAATAAAATAAATAAAAGAGGAAAAAAAAAAGTAAAAAAATTGAACGTGTGATTCAAACCTCCACGTTTCCTTCGCACGCATAGCATTGCTTTTTCCCCTATAACTTCCCACTCCCACATCAGTATTTCCTCTACGTCTCTGCCTTTGCAAACAAAGCGGAACGGTTATAGAGAGGAAATAAACCGCCAGCAAAAAGTGGGTACAAAATTTCAACAACGTGGCCTCATAAACTCGACTAAAAGCTTTCAAGAAAAGAGCAAATGAATTTTCAATACAAAAAGGGAGCAGTGGTTTTGGGTTTTTTCTTTTAAATTATAGGTTTTGCTTTGCGTTACAGAGTACTGCTTTCTTTTGTTTGTTTTGCTTGCTTCTGTTTTCTCTACTAATAAATTTATTTGTATTTTTAGGATGCCAAGTTTGGTAGAAAGAAAGCGCCAGAGCCGCAGCAAAACGTGCAGTCCATTGATGGTGCTGTGACTAATGGGAGTAGTTCATGTGAAGAGAACAGGTAATGGATTTGATCTTATCATTTGCTATATTGAATTTGTAGAGTTGGGCTCAATTGTTCTTCATTTTTGTCTGTTTTTCAAGCAAAAATTTACATTGAACAATATTAGAGTTCAAAAACATCTGTTATACAAGCACTAACTTCCCCGTTCGTATAATCCCATTTTTTCCGTTCCTACTTATTTTCCCATATCCAAATTCAAATGTTAATTTTCCCCTCAGTTATACAACTGCTATCAACAGTTGTTGCTTGGTTTTACAGACTCTCACACTCCAACGTAGGATAAAACAGGTATTAAGCAACGCCCGAGTCATCATTCTTCTTAATTTCAATTTTTTCGCTTTTTTGCTTTGCCATTCTTCTCCCACTCCCTCTCCCCAGGCGTAAAAAGGAAATTAATCTAGGTGTAAGCTTTTTTTTTTCACTTTTTTTCCTGCATGGTTATACTCATTTTACACATTTTCATGTAAGCATAATATGTAATTGTATGAATATCCAGGTTTAGCTTCATATGGGTTCTTTTAACTTCTTCCTTTGAAATCTTCATTGTGTGTTTTTTAAAATTTCGGTCAGATTATGAGTTTCATTTTTTATTATCTTAATGTGCTATACGTGTGCTATGGTAATTTTAAAAATTATTTGTTTTCATTCTTAGGATATTTACAAGAATACCCACAAAAATTGAAGAAGGAACCGATTGATAAGATCTCAAACAGACGTGTCTCTATTTTTACACCTGGTTGGGAGATATCTGTCGGAGTAAAAACTACTGATCTAAGCCAACTGATTCTCAAAGAGTGGAAAAAGAAGAAGCATGAGCAGTATGTATCCTAAATTATATACAAATTTGTTACAAGAAATCTAACATTATATATACCTTCAATGTATAGGTGGCGCATGAAAAAGGCTGTGGAAGAATTAAAACCTTCAACAACTCCTCAGATCATACGTATTTGGAATAAAGTCCAACAAATAAGGTACAACACCATTTCTTACCTATTTATTTTTAATGGCATTCTCTATATCATTCTACAAATTAATTATCTCAAATTATAAAATAAAATAAAACAATTTATGGGTGCAGAAAAAAGATTAACAGTGGCCAAACAACTTTTCTAAATACGGTAAGTCTTCTCTTATTTTCATACAAAAGTATACTATAAATTCAAATTGCATTCAATTTTCAAATATAAATAAAATTGCATTTTTTGTCAGTTTTACAAGCATTACACCCGTCTCAAAAGTACAAAGGTTGAAGTACAAGATTAAGGTAATATTTCTTATTATTTAATTTTTTTAATATGGTTACAATTTGTTACCTCAAACTTGACAAATATATTTATCTTTCAGTATTCTACAAGTAACTGGAGTAAAAGTATTGCCATGAGAAAATTGTCAAACTTAAAGGTATTTAGGTTAAGTTGCTTACAATCTTTATAGTTGGGATTGTGCATTATAGTTAGACTTCTTATTTTATCATCATTGCTTGCAGATTAACCATGAAAATCTAAAGCATCAAGTGCAAGCAAGTGGGTGGCAAGCATGGCTTTGATTTCACACGTAGGCGCTATGTTTACATATGTACATGTTGTCCATATTTTGCTTTGCTTCATATATTAGGAGTTCATCCCTAGCTAGCCTATAACTTTGATTGAAAACTTATGAATCTGAAACATTTTGATTTAAGGACATTAAGTGTTGTCAATATGTATTTAGAAATCCAATTACATGTCATATTTTCATATTTTCTTATTTATAAATAGTATATGTTTTCCCATTTTATCTTCGTTGTTGTTTTAAAGAAAAAATAGTAAAAAATGTATGAGAGATTACTCACATATGTGCAAATTGGATGGAATATATGCTCCTAAATTATTCAACAAATGTGGCAATATGACAATATGGCATGCGATAACACCATTATCACTTTGGAATGATGGGATGATTGTACGGTAACACCATTATCTCATCAACCTTTCTTCAACTCAAGCAATTGGAACTACGTAGCCTGGCCCATGCTTTAATGTTGAACATCTCAGTCCCAACCCAAAATGGCACACCCATAATTATGTACTCACTCCTCTAACTGTATCAACTATCCCATTCATAAATTTCATTTTTGGGTACAATGGGCAGGTGCAAAAAGACTAAGTTAGATGATTGAACATAATAAAAAATTGAAAATAATAAGAAATTGTTGTGATGGACACAAACACAATTTATAAAATAATCACTTAAGAAATATAAAAATATCTAAAACAACACATCTTTGGGCGCGTAGCGCCCGTGATGCAAAAGTGCCTCTCGCACGCACGTTAGTGCGTGCAGAGAGGCTAGTAGAGAGAAAAGTGGTGGAGGAAGGAGAAAGAATGTAAAAATTGAAATCAGTTTATTTTCAATTTAGGTCTTGTTTTTAGATCAGGACTCCGAGATTTCCTCCTCCAATTGTACGTTGCGGTTTGAAATTTGAATCATTTGATGATCTGATTCGTCCATTGGAGGCAGTGTAGGGATCTCGAGGATAGAAGCAAAACACTAGGGTTGTAGAGAGAGAGAGCGAGAGAGAGTTTTCTGTTGGATGTCACATCGAATACACGTATTCTTGCGGTAACTTAATTAACCACCCACGGAATTACCAGATGCTTTATATACTTACTATTTTCATTTTAAAAATACTTTCTATTTTCATTTAAAGAAAAAAAATAAACCAATATTGTACACTGACCATATGTGTAGGAGAGGAGTTGTATTTCCTTCACCCCTACAGTCCATCGTCATGTGTTGATCCTAGACGTATGTCATGATCGGGGCATGATAACTTTTGGTGCTATCAGAGATTCCTAGACCATCTCCGGAGAAGCAGTTTTCATGCAGCTAGGACGCATTCCTTTTGTGGGGATCTGCTGGATTCAACAGGTTTTAGAGCCCGTACAAGGGATCTCTTTACCATGGCAATCCAAGTTATAATAAAAACTATGACAATCCGCATAATTCTACGAAAATGCGGATTGTCAACATTTTGTAACCATCGCACCAAATAAGCTTTCTTTTGAATACACATTTTTATGGTCCTAGTAGCGCATTATATGTGTTTATTTGATTAAGTTCCAATGGTTGTCAAACGCACGCTCATTAGTTTTAATAATCCTTCTTTTTTTGCATTCATAATATCTATGACACAATCATATACATATTTTTTATCTTCATTTATTGAAAGAGGTAGAAGCATTGTTAAAAAGGAAAACTAATGAAAAGAGTTTGAAAACTTTAAGTTTTAATGATAAGGACAAAATAAAGGGTAAAATGAATAGTACCAGGTTTGATTTTTTAGTTTAAAAATGTGGTTTTTCGTTAAAGTGAAAAGTACCGCGGGTTTTTCGTTAAAACTCCCTTGTTAAAAAGTATCTCTAACTCAAATAACATAGAATATTTTTAATTTATCTTATGGCACAATCATATAAGTATGTGTGATGGTATGAATTGAAAAAAGCCTTTTTTTCTTCCCCAGCTAATAATTCAGTTTCCATCCATCTTTATGAGACTTCACAGTTGACTTGACTCCCAGTATGGTTGATGACAAGGTTCAGACTTGAGACAGGAAATTCAGTAAGCTTCAGGCAACCTCCCGCACAGCTCGAAACACATCAGGTTTTCCACTAACCTTCTTCTTTCATCTTCATTTCCTGCTTTCTCTTCATTGTCTGCTTCATAAAATCTTATTTTTTGAAAAGCCACGCTTCCCTCTATATATTATGTGACGAAAAGAAGGCCAATTTAGTGAATAACTTTGAGGTTGTTTGGTATTCATTTGAAAATAATTTATAGTTTTAAAAATAATAAATGCAAATGACTTCCCACTGATTAGTTTCGAAAACAGAAAAATTGGGATCCAAGAAAGAATACCAAGGATGTCATTTCTTCATCAAGAAAAGGAGAGAGGAGGTCCTCAAATAGTTATATAGTTATTCAACCCCGCCTGGTTCCTGGTTCCTCAAATTCACAAAGCTTGAGCATTTTTGCAGTTTTGATTCAACTGCTTACTAATCACCCCTTAGGGATAACAGGATTTTGTTATGTATGTGCTTTCTCAATTGAACATTTAATCACCTACCGACAAGTGTTCAAGGAAATGGTTTCAACATACCATTTTTCCCGCACCACACATCCTTGTTTATTTTTGGCCTTTGAATCGAATAAAGCGAAGGAGAATCAATTGGCAATTTTAAACACGAGTGCTGATGAAATCATTTCCCTAGTGTTTAATCCGATGACAATACATGAAAGGTGCGCAGGTTGAAGGTCTTTGGAGTTAAAAATGAAAATTACTCTACACATATTGTTAAAATCTTTGCACTAAATAGGGGTATAGAGTCCGACATTTTGTCTATCATGTTTTAGTAACAGAGGTTTGTAGAATCTAACTATGAAATTGCTCTTCTCCAGTGGTTTGAAAGAAAAGGAAAGGGAAAGGGAGCCAAATGGCCGGTACGGTTGACCCCATTCCTAACAGCATCAAGAAGCTATGGGACAAGTGGAACCTCAGGGGCTTTATCCTCTTAAGCCTCACATTGCAGACCCTTCTAATTCTTTTTGCACCCGCGCGAAAGCGGACGCCAAACATGGGGATAATGTTCATCGTTTGGTCATCTTACTTGCTCGCTGACTGGGCTGCTAACTTTGCAATTGGATTAATCTCAAACAGCCAAGGCGACCATGCAGGTGACGACTATCCTGGTGATCTTTTGGCATTTTGGGCTCCCTTTCTTTTGTTGCACCTTGGCGGTCCAGACACCATTACTGCGTTTGCGCTTGAAGATAACACTCTGTGGCTCAGGCACTTTCTTGGCCTCATATTCCAGGTTGCAGCTGCTGTGTATGTCTACATTCGATCCTTCCCCAAAAACAAACTATGGCTCCCAACCGGCCTCCTTTTTCTTGCTGGAATCATCAAGTATGCTGAGCGCACACGCTCCTTGTATAGTGCAAGCTTGGATAATTTCAAGGAAGCCATGATGAAAAAACCTGATCCAGGACCGAATTACGCAAAGCTTATGGAAGAGTACTCCTCGATAAAAAATTCCCAACTTCCAACTCATATAGAACTCACAGCAGAACGCAGCAAGGAATCTAGGACGGTGACTTACGTGATAGGCAAAGATGAGCTGGACAGTGATATTGCAGTGGTGAGACATGCTCATTATTTCTATCAAATCTTCAAGGGTCTAATTGTGGATCTCATTTTCAGCTTCCATGAACGCCATGAGAGTCGTGCAGTCTTCCATGAAAGAACACCGAAAGAAGCATTTAAATTAATTGCAGTCGAGCTCAACTTTATGTATGAAGCTCTCTTCACCAAGGCTGCTGTGGTGCATACTAAGCCAGCATACATTCTCCGGGTGGTTTCCTTCAGCGCGATTGTTGTAGCCCTTGTTTTCTTTTATAGATTAGAGAAAGAGGGTTTGCACTCGTTTGATGTTAGAATTACCTATACCTTGCTGTTTGGTGCCATAAGCTTGGATTCAATAGCTACTGTTATGCTTACATTCTCAGATTGGACTATTGCTGCTCTGAATAAGTTTTGGCAAAATTCTGGTCTAGCCAAAACTATTTTTGGAAAGTATCTCGATTTCAAGAGATCGTGGGGGTGGCCTACGGCAAAAACAAGAAATGAGGGCGGCCAAGTTCCTAAAACAAAAGCAACGAAATGTTTGGAGTGGATTAGGCGAATCCTATTTCGGAGGTGGTACGAATCTGTCTCTACATTCAACTTGATACATTATTCCCTCAAGGAGAAGCGGAAAAAGTCCCCGAAATGGTATGACTGCTTTGGCATTGGCTACATTAAAGTCATCACCTTATTTGGCCTCAAGGATCTTCATGATAAGTTGACATATAGGACCAAAAAGCCGCTCGCTGAAGAGTTATGGGTTTTTATTTTTGAGCAGTTGATAAGTAAATCCATGCTCGCTGATGATCCTGAAACTGCAAGGAAAATAGGTGCGGCCAGAGGTGATTGGGTTCTCGAGGGTAGCGATTGGGATAGTAATGTGATCACTAAGTTACTATCTTACGTTGTTGATGTGGAATATGACAAGAGCATTTTATTGTGGCACATTGCTACGGAGTTGTGTTTCAACGATGACAAAAGCAAAACTGAAGGTGAAGCTGCGCCTGAAGTTAGTGATGAAACTAAAAAAAGTAAAGAACACAGTAGGACCATATCTGATTATATGTTGTACCTCTTAGTTATGCAGCCTTCTATGATGTCTTCTATAACAGGAATTGGACAAATAAGATTCCGGGACACGTGCGCAGAAGCCAAGAAATTCTTCAGCAGAAGGGATCTAGAATCTGGACAAGTGAAAGAAGCTTGCGAAAAACTCCTGGAGGTAAATACAGATGTTGAGCCAGTTGCTGTCAAAGGAGATAGAAGTAAATCAGTGTTGTTCGATGCTTGTATTCTGGCCAAAGAGTTGAGAAAATTGGAGGACAGGAAATGGGAGCTGATGAGTGAAGTGTGGGTGGAAATTCTGTCTTATACCGCAACTCATTGCCGAGCGAATGACCATGCGCAACTGCTGAGCAAAGGTGGAGAGCTAGTGACTTTTGTTTGGTTATTGATGGCTCATTTTGGCATAGGAGAGCAGTTCCAAATAAATGAGGGCCATGCGAGAGCAAAACTCATCGTGGGAAAGTGAACGGAGGTACTGAACCTGAATACTTGAATGAAAATACTTGGATGTTATTGAAAAGCCTCAAATCTTGTAGACATTAACGCTTGTTAAAAAGACTGCAAAAACTCATGAAACTTAGAACAAGAATGAGCATGTCCAAAGCTTGTGCTCCATGCCAAAACAAGCGCGTGCTAGCAATTAATTGCACTATACGGCCAGTGATGTGAACAAACTCGAAACATTCTTGAATCATCTGGTTTTTCATTTGCAAACTTATCACCATGCTTAGAAAAGTCTCCACCGTCTTAAAAAACCAGTTGATTAACGAATTGCTAGCATTGCCTTGAGGTAGAATTAGTGGCCGTGTAGTCTAGTCGCGCTTTTTAGAGAACATTTTCGAAGAATGTAAAAACCATGTCATTTGGGATTAGTCAGTGACTGCTACTACCGAAAATAAAGCTAAATAAGTCGGTGAATGTCACAAACATCCCTACAACGCTTTATAAAACCAAGTGAAGAAGGAGAAAGCAGCGCCCACTTCCCATTTTCTTAATCCACATTAACACCCATTTGATCACAATGTTGACGACTCCGGGGGGAATAGTTAGCCACAGAACGTATAATGTACATCAGCAGGCGTTGCTGCTGAGAATCACGGCTTTGTTTCTCTACGTATACAGGAAAATAGAAATGCAAAGTTCAGAAATAATTCCAGTTTTATCGTAACTGCCTGAAAACCTCCAAAAGAATTATCGGACTGTAACTAGCTCTGCGTTAACCTCCGCCCAAAAATGAAAGGAAAAAGTTAATTTTATAAAAGCAGCAGACAGCTCGCCCAAAGGCTCCGAACATTTCACAGCGGCGTTAGATTGTTGTACTGTTACATTGAGTTGGTTAATGAAAATACACAGAAAGATTTCCCTTCTCTCTCTTGTTCTTTGATCTCTCTCTCTCTCTCTCTCTCTCTCTAGTTTCTCAGTGTATAACGTACCATAACATTCACAACAGACACCGGTAGTTGGAGTCGTGCGTCCTCTCAAGAAGTAACCATGTAATAAAGCAATACCACCAAATGCATGTGCAGGTTGCTTTTGTGTTTCTCTCTACGTGAGTTGTGACTCACATATATTGCTGGACAAATATGTAATCTATGTATTGTTAGCTTCTTTTGTGCCTAATCTATGTACTGTTACGTTTCTTTTATGCATGAGATCATATGCTCGAAGTTACGATACTAATGACGGAGGACATAACTCAATATCTTAAAACCAATCATTGTTGATTCTGACTGATATTTTGTGCACTGTTTTCTGTAGTAGATTTCAAGTTTCAAACGGTAATAAGCTAGGTGATACGAGTAGACGTTAATTGTGCAGTGCATTCATAATGTATATAATAGAGAGAGAGAGAGAGAAAGAGAGAGAGCTTGCTGTTGGATGTCACATCGAATACACATATTCTTGCGGTAACTTAATTAACCACCTACTGAACGGAATTACCAGATGCTTTATATACTTTCTATTTTCATTTAAAGAAAGAAAAAAAGCCAATCTTGTACACTGACCATATGTGTAGGAGAGGAGTTGTACAACCATTGAAGTTCTTTTTACGGTACAACAATGTATGACACGACATTGATTCAAACCATAGTTTTTATATCTTATGTTTATGCTTTGTGTCAGGAATATCAATCATAGAGATAGCAAGTTTGGATCGCATACAATCGTTGGCTTAATTATAACAATAATTCCTATACTTATCATTGGAAAATTTTATTGAATGGGCACCATTCACTATGCTTTGAAAAAACAAAAAAAAAAAAACACTTATTTTAGAAACATGATAAACTCTGCTTATGTTTTCCTATGTTTTTCTACTACAATTGACAGCAATTTCTTAAATTTTTTTTTTAAAAAAAAAAACAATTTTTTATCTGGTGTTCCAAATTCTTATATGCTACTTTTTTTAGAAGCACCACAACCACAAACCAACTTAAATAATAGATACAAAAAAAATGTTTAATAATATATAAACTAAAATTAAAAGATTATATTAAGACAGAAGAGATAAACCCATAGATAAGAAAAACAACTTATTCTACATTATTTCTCAAGGGGTTTAACTAGGATCATCTAATTACCATATGAGATTGTTACTTGGAAACACTGCACATTCGATCTGCCAGGCAGTCCTCCCTCCAGATTTCCGCCCCAAAGCGCTCTCCGAGGATTTTAAGCTTGAATTCACTTCCATAACTTGACGGAGCTGTCATGACTTGCCGACGCAACCATTCCAGTGTCAGGCGACTGAGCCAGAGCCGAGATTATATTCTCGTGTGCCGCCACTGTCATGCTCTTGTTCTCAGCCATGTTCCACAGCTCCAAAGACTAGCTCACAAGGATGAAAGTGACTATTAGCATTAGTTACCTTTTTACGTAACAACATACTAATCATAGGTTACCACGGTCAATGCAGTTACTATGAATACTTTATTTGTTTATAAAGCTACTGCTAGAAGAGGTTAAGAAATTACCGAGATTCCTCCAATGACCAAGAGAGTTGAATAACTTGGGTGAAAAACACACGAATGAAACCGGTTGCCGTTAGAGCCGAGCTCCTGAATACACTCTCCCGAAGATATTGACCAAATCTTCACCAAGTTCTGACTGACAGATGCCAGATATTCTCCATTTGCATGCCAACAAATGTAGTTTACCATGTCAGAGTGCCCCTGAGATTGAGAACGGTGATTTAATTATACAACTCTTAATACCTAATCACTTGTTCCCAAAGCAACAGATTAATATTAATCAGGATCTCAGTTAGTCAATCCCATATTTACGGACATGGTACCTGGAACGAGTGCGTTTGCCTGTCAGTTTCGACATCAAAGATGGAAACCATTTTATCTGAGGCTGCTGCCAGCAGTTGTCCAGTTCTTGGCTGAAACCTCACTTGCGCAGTACCTCCCTGCCCCAAATGATAAAGACAATTTTAGGGTGACTATAGCTTTCATACAAATAAAAAAACCCTTAACTTGGAAGGAAAGAACAGAAGATTACAAACCTTCGAACTACGAATACAAGAGAATGGGTTAATATTCCAGTACCGAATTTCATTGTCATGATCACAGAAACAAAATAGATCAGTCTTCTTAGGGTGGAAGTCAAGGGACATGATAGGTGAGTTGTGCCCCGTATATGCATGTAAACAATAGTTAGGCTGCCACAATAAGATTAATAAGTCAACAACGCTAGTACAATGAAAATGCACACACAAACTATGCAGTCTGTAAAATAAGGTTTCTAACGACTAAGTTACTAAAGAATAAGAAAAAATCTTAAATTATTAACATCTAGAGGTACACCCTTGTTGTCAGCTCAGACCATACATAAAAGAGAGTAAAGACAATTACATTGGCTGCATCCCACAATCGTATAGATTTGTCAACTGAAGCTGTTGCCAGCTGAGATGAATTTGGTCTAAACCGAACATCTGTGATAACTAACTTGTGTTCTTCGGGAGTACTCTCTGTCTGCAGAGTATCCATGTTCCAGAGAACAACCTGGTGCATATGACAAATGTTAATTGTTCTCATTCCTTCAAGCCTCCAATCTCAATCATGCATCTTCATTACATGCATTTAAATCGTTATATTAACTGAACCAGCAGTATCTATTTAGCTCATGACCTCTCCATTCATTAAAATTTAAAACATGTGCAAGCAAACACACTCGTGTAGAACAGACTTCTTGACCTCGAAACTAATAAGAACTGTCAAATCCAGTAGATAATACTTTTCGTGAGAACGATATGCGTGTGTGTGTGTGTGTGTGTGTGTACATATAATTTGAATGTCTTCTTATAGCATGTACATACCTTTTTGTCATGTCCAGCACTAGCCAGCAACTTCCCATCTGAAGAGAAGTGACAGCAAGTAACTTTACTGGTTCTGGTCCGTATGCAGCCAACTTCACCAAATGTAAAACCTGAATTGGACAATGCAGCCACAGCTTAGGTACAGTGAAGAAACTTGAGCAACTCTCTGAATACAATGTGTAACCCTCAAGTTACCTTTAGAAGAATCTTTTTGGTGCTGTTTAGGACTCTGCTTTAATGTCCCATACAGATCCCTCCCGTTGCCCCCATCATTTGACAAAAATGATTCCACATTATCTTCTAAAGAACCAACATCTCCAAATCGTTCAATGTCATCCTGCACAAAATCCGACGCTATTAGAAGAAGAGTCTCTCTGGCTTTTCTACCTTCTCCGTTTCAGCACCCATAAAATATCAATGAAATTTGATACTCAAAACACAATCATAATAGTGATTCCTCAACTATAGAACCAAGTCTTTTGGCAATGTTTACTGACAGCATAATTTTTTTTGGTAACCTTGAGAAAACTTATAATTAAATTGGCAGCTCAAGTACTTTTCACATCTACATTTAATGTCAGCAACTCAGCATACCAGAAAATTGGAAGATGCCGGAAGTCCTGTTCCATCTGGACCATACGTCATCAAGCTTTTTGGCATACTGTTGACATGCTGCATACTATTGGCTGTGTTAATTCCATCACCAGGCGTGTGAGTTGATGCTGGCGAACTGGGTGAAGGGCCAACAGTGTTTCCTGTGCCAGTGCTGTTGGCAGGTCCAGAGGAAGAGTGTTGTTTCCTTTTTCTGTTTTTCTGCAGAAAAAAAAAACATCAATAGATGTTTATCAGCTTATCCAAAACTAAGTTCTTCAGGCCCTAATTCACAAGGCATAAGATTGTCGCAGAAATCATATCATCGTTGTCTAAAATTTGGTTCTCTTAAACAGCTAATATTCGTAACAAGCTTACTAGTAAATAAGAGATAACAATGCTGTCCTTGCCCAGACTTGGATCCCTAACCAAGGACATACAGAAAGAGTACAAAGTTTAAGTCTGCATAACTATGCACAACCTGTTGCAGTTGCTGTTGTGGTAATTGTTCGTGTTGTTGAGAGGAAGGGTGCTGCATCTGAGCCATTTTTATC